ATATATATATATATATATATTGAACAACCTCCTACATTCGCCTCAACTTTTATGGCCCTGTTCGATACGCTTAGAAATATTCAACACCTCATATTATTATATTAATTACTCAACTTTCCCAAAACAACAGTTTGATCGAGACCAATTGACTAGGCCAGAGGAGGATGTGTAACCAAATACATAGTCAAAATGTTGAGGAAGGTCTAACTGCAAAATCACGGCACATGTGCGTGACAAATAAGTCATACAATTCGTTCTAGATAAATGTTAGATTTCACACAACTTTCCCCAAATTAATCGGTACAATATTAAAGTCAGATCTTCTTTTGCTTTCTCCACTAAATTAACATCGTGATAATATTGCAGAGCAAATCCCGTTAAGGGGAAAAAAGTAAATGAACAAGTGGAGGACCAAATAATTGTATGTCATGAAGAGTGTAAAAGCACCATATAATATATTAATAAAGAACCCTATTTTTTTATTTGATTCATAAAATCCACTATATAATATATATGTAAGAATACAAGATTATACATATTATTTGAAAGCATTGTAGTACAAAATCACACCAGTCCACAATAACAAACTCATCACTCGCACATGACATGAATATTATAACATCCAAAAAGGATGGTGAATACTCAAGTCCGGCTACTAAACCCTAGTGATCACTAAAACCTCGGCGCAACTCCATCATACCTATTGATATATTTTACTAACTCCTTCTTATCATAGTATATTATTACTGAATTAAAAAAAAAAATCAGAAAGGTGGAAAAGCTGGGCTAATAGCTGGTGCAACTTCAAGCTTAGCAGGGTGAAGTGGCCCCGGTGCAACAACAAAACCGGAGCTTCGGAGCTCAGCCATCTCTCGGCGAACATTTCCGGCTTGCGCTTCACATAGTTTCGGAAGAAACACACCTATACACAAACAAATAAGTAAATAATTAAAATCAAACTTTAGGGTTATTTTCACTTTACTCTCTAAATTCTGACAACTTCCACTTTACACTTCCAATTTAAATTAGACCAACTTAACTCCTTCTATTAAAATTTCCGTTTTTAACGACAAAAAAAATAGAGTTAATGAAATCATATAATAGCGTCTAAAAAAAAGAATTGTGTTAAAATATATGTTAAGCCAAGAAATGTCGACTTTTCGTCACTCTTGCTACTTTGGCTCTAACGTAAAAACGACACAATTTATTCACCTTCACCGGCGGCGAGATTGAAGTAAAGGTCAACAACGTTGTGGCAAGCATCGTAGCAGTTTGGGGAGCAAAGCTGTCGTGTGAAGCGAGACTCAAGGAGAGAGTCGGATGAGATTCCAAGAGTTCTAACTTTAGGATTATTTTCACTTTACTCTCTAAATTCTAACAACTTCCACTTTACACTTTCAATTTAAATTAGACCAACTTAACTCCTATTAAAATTTCCGTTTTTAACGACAAAAAAATAGAGAGTTAATGAAATCATATAATAGCGTCTAAAAAAAAAAAAGAATTGTGTTAAAATATATGTTAAGCCAAAAAATGTCGACTTTTCGTCCTTCTTGCTACTTTGGCTCTAACGTAAAAACGACACAATTTATTCACCTTCACCGGCGGCGAGATTGAAGTAAAGGTCAACAACGTTGTGGCAAGCATCGTAGCAGTTTGGGGAGCAAAGCTGTCGTGTGAAGCGAGACTCAAGGAGAGAGTCGGATGAGATTCCAAGAGTTCTGCGGTCAAGTCCACATGCTTTGATACACTCGTCGCTCTCAATCACGTCCTTCAGTTTGTCCGCCTCGATGTCCGACGCACGGCATGTGTAGGCTTCTTTCCCACTCCTCTTCACATGCTTCTCCAAAACGCACCGTTTCCCCGACGACGACACCGCGAACGCGCAGGTGTCTTGGTCTAGCTTCTCACACGTTATTCCTCCTTTAAAAAAAAAAAAAAAAAAAAAAAACCCAATATTTGCTTATATTTATGTATAACATACAATGTATATAACATTATATATGTATGTATATAAAGCATATAATGTATATATATAATTTAGAAAAATATCACGAGAATTGACAAACCAAGGGTGCCTTGGACGCAAAGGGCAAGAGCAATGAGTGCGAGGGCCTTCAAGCAAAATTTTGACGCCATTTGGTGAAGCTTTCTGTGGGATAAATGGATAATATGGCGGGGGTGACTAAAAGAAGCTATAAGTTTTCTAAATTAAGTTGGTTTGGCCAAGTTTGCGCTTCTTTAGGAGGAATGTGCTTGTGAAGATTCATGGGTGCGCCGAACCATTATATAGTCGTTTAGAAGATCACTGTAGAATGAAAGGTAACGACTAACGAGACAAATGATGTTGGACTTTCAAAGTTTCAAAGTGAAGAAACAAGAAAAATAAATTAAAAAATACAGGAATTAAGGAACCGTGCTTTAGATTTTATTACAGCTAGGGTCTACATAGGGACCCTATGAATGCCACGTATTAGAGGCTTTTATGATCACAATTTGGAGCTAAAAACGCTAGTCAATTAATATAACTAATCGTCTGCCGCTATCAATGGCGCGGCCATTGCATGGCACTGTATTTCCACATTTATGGCTGTTTAATATTCTAGTTAGTCCTAAAAATCTGTCCTCTTTTTATTATAATTATTTTTTTTTTGAAAGATTCTTTTTTCTCTTAATTTTTGAATGCTAGAACAGCAGTTTGCAAAAAGAGAATTGACTTTTCTTTTCAGTTCTCACTTCTTGAACAAGTTGAGCAAATTTATCAGAAAATGAATAGCTAATAATATGTTTAATTACATGTGAGCTTTTTTTTTTTTTTTTAATTGAATGCATGTAAAGCCTATTTAAGTTACATGAACTAATTGTTAATATCGTATCTGGTTGTATATTTTGCAAAGATATATATTGAGTAATACATGTAAAGGTTGAATGTACGTCCAAACTAAGTGGAGCAATGAATGTCGTTCATGAAACTAGGTAGCAGTTCGCAGCCGAAATATATGCGAGACCCTTATCTAGTTGTGTTTCTGAAGGATACCTAACGTTTATAACAGTTGTCCCGTTTATATATAAATGGTCTATTTAATCGGCATGCCAAATAATGAGTGCATTTGAAATTGATTTTTTATTTTATTTTTAAAAATATTTTTATACGTCTTTTAAGATATAAAAATGAAAATGATATGTAAACTGTCTTTGTTTATTTTAAAAATGAAAACGAAAACTAACAACAGTAAGAATAGTTTTTGTGAAAAAATTAAAAAACGATTAAAATTATTTTTTTTTTTCTGTTTTTATTTTTCAATATTTATCAATAATATTATAATATATTAATTAATAATTATAACTAAACACAATTTTATTTTTTTATTATATTCAAAATATTTTCTTAAAAAATTAATCAAATCAATTTTATAATAATTCTCAAAATAATCTCATTTTTATTTTTATATTAAAAATAAAATTATTTTAAAAACGTTAACTCCGGGTAACTCCGTCACACATGGCACTCCATCACGTTTTACACTGTACATCTTTTTCAAGTGGGGCCTACAAACTTACATAAATTGTTTTTGTCTTCTTGTACAGGTGGAGTGCGGAGCCAATGCAAAGCTGGATTGAAACACGTTGATTTTGGTTCTGGGCGGCTTAAGACTGGAGACTATAGGAGGCAGGCCTAATTTGGCGAAAATTTCATACTAACATCCCACAGTCACGTACCTAAGTAATTTTATCGTCCATTTAATTCATTAATTTAAATTTTTAATTTAAATTGAGATGTAATTTTATATAAAAAATTTTTATTATAGTAAAAAAATTAAATATGACTGTTTGTGAAAATTTTTTACTGTAACAAAATTTAAATTCTAAACTCAAATTAGTGAAATAAATATGACCTTAATATTTTGCTCTATATAATGTTCAAAATTTATAGAATATGCTTCTTCTTAATATAATGTTCAAGGTGTTTTTTTCTTCTTTTTTTTAAAAAAAAAAAATTTATTTTATAAGAGAATTCAATAGCTTAGTTTTAATAACACATTCTGGTAACAAATCTTTTTTATTCTTTCAAAATTTTTCTCCAAATAAGGTGATACTTATAAAAATAAAAAAGAAAATCGAATTAGAAGTTAAGAGATTGAAATAAATATAATAGTTAACAAGTATAATATTTAACTCCAACTAATAGTTTTTATTGGGAAACAAAAACCATTAAACACTAATACTAATTTTCAAGTTTAAGTCTGCAAGTAATATATAATTGAAATTGTACTATTTAATATATGGATCCTATAAAGTTGTGTAAATATAGATATATAGATATAGAAAACCTGAAACAATAAGAAGAATTTTACGTAGAAATTCAACATTTCAAGTTTACATTATTTTAATATATAGTCATGATTTTTTTATCTTGCTTAAAAAATACATTAGAGGTCTATTATAGCAAGCCTAATTAAAGTGTATATATATATATATATATTTATATTGTGTGTGTGTGTGTGTACACTCACAACCTGAAATATGAATAGAGGCCTCAATTTCGAAAATTAAGTAGAGGTCTTTGATGATATCATATACTACTATATTTATTCTCATGACAAAAATGGGGCCTTCCAATTGTAAAGTGCAAACCTATTAAAAAAAGAATAATAAAAGTAATAATAATAAAGGGGCTTGAACGGCTAAGGGACCTTAGGAGAGTGCCTAATTTGCCTAGTCCTTGAGCCGGTACCTCATTTTAAAGTTTATGTCACTTTTCTTGGACGTATTTAATTAATCCGTTTTCATATAGGTCTTAGTTATAATTATTCATTCCTGGCTCATAGTCTCAATTTTTTTTAAAATAAGATTAAGGGAATTATAACTAGTATAAATTAAGAGGGTTTCATGTACAATTCGGCAATACTTTTGTTCATTAGATTACTAGGTAAGGTGGCTTAATTAATGTCTTAAATAAAGATGAAAAGCTACTGCGCTGTTGGAAAAACTCTACTCAAGCAGGGGAAGAATTCATGTGGAAGTTTTTCAGCAGCCTCAGTGATAAATGGCAAGCGGCAACGTTCTTTAATATTTTACTACTCTTTTTTGATGTTGTATTATGAATGAACTTATAGGGTTTATTAACTCCAAAGCAAGTCTAAGAAACTATATTATACTAATTATTGCATGTATCTTTACAGTTTACAATTTATTGATCTATGTATATAGGCAAGGATTTATACTTATTGCGACGCCCCGCGGCCACCTAGCTTACATGCATACGCATAATAATTGGTCATTTCATACTCTAAAGTCTGAACCAGCGAAAACATTGAACATAAATCTTAAATAGAAAAAACAAAAATTTATTTTATTTTTTTTTCAAATATCTATTGTTATTATTTTCCCTTTCTTGTTTTTTCCCTTGAAAAAAATAATAATTAGGGTAATTTGAAGACCTGAGAAAAAAGAAGAGAAAACGGACGAAAATAGAAATAGAAGCTAGAGTTGTGCACGACTCGGCATGGTTATAGCTATAGTTAGATTTATAAAGAATATATTCTAAAATTTATTTATCTCAACAAAGACATATTTTGTTCTTTTCTCAGATTGGTCTTACTTAGCTTTGTCCTGATTTAAGTTCGAGTCTCAAAACTAATAAAAATCATTTTGAAAAAGACAATAAGAAAGACGAGTTAGAATATTGTATTATAAAAACACCAAAAGTTTACCAGACCTGGAAACAAACTAAGTTTCTGGTCAGACAAATATTGCCAAGGAAACGCTCAAATTTATACAAAAGTCCTTCCAAGAACAGTCGTTTAAATGAAGTCTCCATTTCATTCGTGAAAAACGTTGTGATGTGGACTTTCCTCCGTTTTTTGCGGGGCAAACTGCAAAGCTATTATTAATAGAGATCTTTTTCGATACGTCAACTTAATGGTATGTCAAATTTTTTATTCGTTAAATTCATATAAAATCACGTAAAAAATTAAAATATATATAAATTTAATCATTAAAAAAAATTAATTTACCGGTACACTAGGTAATCTCCTTAATAAATATTGTATGTTGTTTATTTTATTTTATTTTATTTTATTTTTAAATTATTTTTCTGTAGGTCATAAAGTACTACTGCTGAGAGTTAGTTATTAGTCGGATTCAGAGGACTTTTTTGGAACTTTATACGAAATTTTGCAGCATCCCATAATTGGGGAGGAAAACGTGGACGGTATGGCTTAAGCTAAAGTGCTCTTTGTATCAAGTCATAAACCTTCCAACCAAATCCAAATTCAACACATTACCTTATTTTATATATTTCAGGAATGATAATGACACAATTATGCCGCAATATCTTGCAAAATATTCGTTTTACTTTTAAAAATACAAAAGAAAGTTTTATTCGAGGAGGCGTAAATTGTTTTCTACTTCTACTTTTATTTTTCTCAAAGATAAAATGCTAATCAAAATCACCACTTTAAGACTTAACCAAGACAGAAAAGATATTTGTCTTTACGAATTGTCCTCATGCTTACGCAATCACACATAAATAATTGCTAAATTTTCTCCCCTTTCTTTTCTAAACGGGTAGACAACAAATTCATCATTTCAGTTTTCATTTGTTTTGTTTAAGTGAAAGCTATCACTAGCTAATCGGTTTAAAATAAAATATTTTTGTCAAATACTAATATCAGAAAAAAATCTTTAATGATACAAAAAAGTACTATATAATGTATAATGTTAGTTTCAATAGCACAACACAAAAGATTTTAGACTGACACGACATGACACAGTTACATTGACAACTTGGCTAAGCGCAACAGGTGAATTGTATCAGATAATTTTAAGTACATAAACATGACACGACACAACACGAAAACACGCGAGTATGAAAACATGACTTATAGGACACAATGTGGATAGGCTGACCAACATGATGAATACAATTTTTTTTTCTCGGAAGAATGTAATAAATAATAGATTTATGAAACTAAATTAAGTGAATAGTAAATTTTAAAACTATTTGAAATAAATAGTAATTTACCAGTAAATGGTTTATTTGCGACTAGTAAAAAGATTTTTTTCCATGTAAATTTTCTTTTTACGATTGGTAAAAAGATTTTTGTTCACTTAAATAAAGATTTTTACCACATAAATTATGTTTTACTAGTCACAAATGAAATATTTACATTATTCACTTCAACTAATTTTAAATTTATTATTTACTTAATTTAGTTTCACAAATATGTTGTTTACTAC